GCATAATTAATAATTAATTTCTTGTTTTTCTTTGTTTTATTTTATTTTATTTTTTTTTTATTTTTTTTTCCGAAATTTTAGCTAATTATTTTTTTTTTTGTTCTAATTTTGTTTTGCAAAGGGACTAAATTTTTCCACCATTGTAGTAAGAAAACTTTTCTCATATATTTTTCTCTATTTTTTTTTTTTTTTAAATTATTTATTTATTTTATTTTTTTCTCAAACACTATTTTTGAAATTTCTTGTTATTTTTTTCTTTTTTTTTTTCTTTTGTATTTTCTTTTCCTAATTATTATAATTTTTTACCTAAGTATTTACACTGTGGGTGGTTAGATATGAGTAGCATGTGCTAGATCTCGCCACCCAACTTATTTCCAATTTGTATGGGTATTTTTTTTGGAAGATGTAAATAAAGTCATATTATTATTATTATTATTATTATTAAATCCAGATGGGCCGTCAGAGGCTGTCAAAATAGGGGTGAAGATATCAAAAAAATCATGTCTCAAAATCTGCTCGTACTGACAGATTCATATTTTCAGGAAAAATTACGACAAGCATTTTCTATTTTTCCATCCTAACACCAATTCCCGATGGACCGTCAGAGGGTATAAAAATAGGGATGAAGATATCAAAAAAATCATATCTCAAAATCTGCTCGTGCTGACAGATTCATATTTTCAGGATAAATTTGGACAAGCATTTGCTATTTTTTCACCCTAACATCAGATCCCGATGGGCCGTCAGAGGGTGTCAAAATAGGGGTGAAGATATCAAAAAAATCATATCTCAAAATCTGCTCGTGCTGACAGATTCATATTTTCAGGATAAATTTGGACAAGCAATTGCTATTTTTTCACCCTAACATCAGATCCCGATGGGCCGTCAGAGGGTGTCAAAATAGGGGTGAAGATATCAAAAAAATCATATCTCAAAATCTGCTCGTGCTGACAGATTCATATTTTCAGGATAAATTTGGACAAGCAATTGCTATTTTTTCACCCTAACATCAGATCCCGATGGGCCGTCAGAGGGTGTCAAAATAGGGGTGAAGATATCAAAAAAATCATATCTCAAAATCTGCTCGTGCTGACTGATTCATATTTTCAGGATAAATTTGAACAAGCATTTGCTATTTTTTCACCCTAACATCAGATCCCGATGGGCTGTCAGAGGGTGTCAAAATACGGGTGAAGATATCAAAAAAATCATATCTCAAAATCCGCTCGTGCTGACAAACTCATATTTTCAGGACAAATTACGACAAGCATTTGCTATTTTTCCATCCTAACACCAAATCCCGGTGGGCCGTCAGAGGGTGTCAAAATAGGGATGAAGATATCAAAAAAATCATATCTCAAAATCTGCTCGTGCTGACAGATTCATATTTTCAGGATAAATTTGGACAAGCATTTGCTATTTTTTCACCCTAACATCAGATCCCGATGGGCCGTCAGAGGGTGTCAAAATACGGGTGAGGATATCAAAAAAATCATATCTTGAAATCTGCTCGTGCTGACAGATTCATATTTTCAGGATAAATTTGGACAAGCATTTGCTATTTTTTCACCCTAACATCAGATTCCGATGGGCCGTCAGAAGGTGTCAAAATAGGGGTGAAGTTATCAAAAAAAATCATAACTCAAAATCTGCTCGTACTGACAGATTCATATTTTCAGGATAAATTTGGACAAGCATTTGCTATTTTTTCACCCTAACATCAGATCCCGATGGGCCGTCAGAGGGTGTCAAAAAACGGGTGAAGTTATCAAAAAAAATCATATCTCAAAATCTGCTCGTGCTGACAGATTCATATTTTCAGGATAAATTTGGACAAGCATTTGCTATTTTTTCACCCTAACATCAGATCCCGATGGGCCGTCAGAGGGTGTCAAAATAGGGGTGAAGTTATCAAAAAAAATCATATCTCAAAATCTGCTCGTGCTGACAGATTCATATTTTCAGGATAAATTTGGACAAGCATTTGCTATTTTTTCACCCTAACATCAGAGCCCGATGGGCCGTCAGAGGGTGTCAAAATACGGGTGAAGTTATCAAAAAAAATCATATCTCAAAATCTGCTCGTGCTGACAGATTCATATTTTCAGGATAAATTTGGACAAGCATTTGCTATTTTTTCACCCTAACATCAGATCCCGATGGGCCGTCAGAGGGTGTCAAAATAGGGGTGAAGTTATCAAAAAAAATCATATCTCAAAATCTGCTCGTGCTGACAGATTCATATTTTCAGGATAAATTTGGACAAGCATTTGCTATTTTTTCACCCTAACATCAGAGCCCGATGGGCCGTCAGAGGGTGTCAAAATAGGGGTGAAGATATCAAAAAAATCATATCTCAAAATCTGCTCGTGCTGACAGATTCATATTTTCAGGATAAATTTGGACAAGCATTTGCTATTTTTGCACCCTAACATCAGATCCCGATGGGCCGTCAGAGGGTTTTTTCTAATTCTCTATTAGTCGTTGTGCTTGTATCAAATTCAAGTCATCTGGATTGTCGTTTGGTCGTCCATCAGCGATCAGCAAGGCTTTGCGCATATCTGGCCAATTAACGTCGTTGCAACTAAACGTTGCTAAATAGTTCATTCTAACTATAAACCGTGCCATCGAGTGATCGATTCCTTCGAAAACGGCGGACAAAACTTATATAGGCGGATAGAAAACATCGAGGCGAATTCGGAAAAATCACTAAAAAAATTCCATGGCCAACTTAGCCACCTGTCAATGTCAAAATTTTGACAGGCGAGGCGGAAGGAATTTCAAAAAAGGGCTCTGCAAAGCACGAGATTTCTTTAAGGCGTTTCGGAAACACCAGGCGAAATTTTGATGACAGCTGTCATGCGACCGGTGTGTGTTCAATAGGGTAAACGGCCTTTCCCCACGCTTTACCTTACAAGGTGGAAACCTCAAACTCGGTGGATTATGTTTATTCAACGTGGCCGACCTGTCGGTGTCAAAATTTTTTGACAGCTGTCAACGTCAAAAAAGTTATTTTTGCATTTCTCGGAAAATTTAAAATCCGAGTATCGGAAAAGTTTCCCCGGACCCGAAAACCCCTTAAAAAAATTGACATTGACATACGTCAAAACCTGACGGCGTGACTAGGAGAAACGTCATCTTTGACATACGTCAAATTTCGAAGATGCGTTCGGATAGAACTTTGGTCGCAAAACACTTTGGCCTTATCGACAGATGTCACCTGTCAAATTTGACACATGTCCGACTTTTTTCCTGCTCTACTATAAAAGCTACGACACCCAAACCCCGGTAGAAGGCGGTTTTGGGTCGCCAACTATCGGTTTGTGTCGAAAAAATTTGACAGCTGTCAACGTCAAAAAAGTTTTTTTTTATTTTGCGAATTTCGAAAACAAAAGTGACGGAAAACGTTCCGCCGACCCCGAAAACCCTAAATAAAAATTCTCATCGATATACGTCAAAAACTGTCAGAGTGACAGCACCAAACGTAATTTTTGGACACATGTCAAATTTTCAAGAAACGACCAGATATACGTTCTGTCATTTTTTAAATTGCTTTCAATTGCCGATGACGTCTGTACCTTACCTGCTTGTCACTTTTTTGACGTTGACAGCTGTCAAAATTAAAGATGGATTTTTTAATTATTCTATTTTTAATTATATTATTCTAATTTATTATCCAATAAGTATGCATTATTATATTTATTATAAATTTATTTCTTTTATATCGAGTACTGATCGATATAATATATTATGGGTTCATTAACCTTTAAAAGGTTAATTTAACTTTCAATTTCAAATCAATAATGTGGTAGTTTAACAAGGTAAACCGATCTAAAATCTTTAGGTAGTCAAATTTAAGTTTTATGTTTACCTATTTTGAACTTTAAAGGTAAGAAGGTAGAGCTCTTCCCGAACCCGTGACCCCTAGATTTCACCTAGCAGGTTTTTGATATTTATAACTGCCTAGGGATTATTTATTACCTTTCTGCATTTATTAATTTGTTTTTTATTGATTTGATTGACTTTGAGTCAAAAATTAAAGGTTAATTGTATTTTGACTTCAACGTTTATACTTAGGTAATTCTCATCGTAAGTATCTATTTAATTGTTTTCAAATTTCAATCCTTTCATATACCTATTTAAATTAAGTTTGGCTTCCGTAAGCTGCTTAATTTTTTTAAATAAAATTGGATACTGAACAATATTCACCTTGGAACAATTGAACAACAAGTTCGCCATCCGGTCAACAAATTGTTAAAAAACAACAAGTTTGCCATTTGGTTAATACATTTTTGTTTTTAAAATTCCAAGACTTGTGTTTTTATTGCAGGGGTTAAATGTGCGATAGGTATTGGATTTATTTTTCCTTTTCAGATTTTTGAATTTATCTTTTTAAATAATAGCTAATTATTTGAATAGTGTCTAGTTTGGCTATTCATTGATAATCAAAATAATTTTATACAGACTAGTGGCGCCCTCTCTTTATTGTACCAACACCAAGAACCACCCCAAGCTAAAGAACCATTAAGCATAGTCGAGCACAATTATGAGCATTCTTTTGTTTCGACAAAAGAGCGTTACAACCTATGTGTTCTTTGATGACTAAAAATAGGCTTATCGAAGACTTTCGTAAACAACAAACTTGGTTTTTATTTTTTTCATGGCCTTCAGGTAAAGACATACAACTCTCCATGGACTTCTTTATGTATATAGGAAATTTCAATCTATAGATTTTTATATCTGAATGGTCAAAAAAATATCTCATGATATTTCTAAGAAGATATTCATCTGTCATCTGTTATCCCAAAAGCTTATAATCTGTTATTTGTTCTTATCACGATTTCGAAAAGAGTTCCACTGCATCAATTGTATAGAATGTGTGATTCAGATTCGGTTGTTACAGTTATTTTATGACATCTTAAAGTCGGATTTATTTACGTACTACGTACTAAAATACCACACCGTGCATTTATGATGTTGAAAAAATTCTTGTGTTGTAGCTAAAAAGCTTGGAGAGCAATGCTACTACCATGAAGCATGTGAGTACACAGACCAGCATGCCTCATGTATCCAAATCCACCACAACGCTCTCTGTCAGTGCCAAAACGGATATCATTCTGTTGGAATTCAAAAATCGTCGAGAAAAATCTTTTGCGCAAAAGGTAAGTCTCCATTTTTAATTATTAATTTTCTAAGTAGGTATTTGAAAACTGATAGGAGAAATCAAGAAAACAATGATTTCGTTGTAGCCCTATTTTTGGACTGAATACAGCAAAAAAAAAAACATTCAGCATTTTGCAAATATGTAGGTACTTCAACTTCGATTGATAATAATTGTCAAAAAGAAAAAACTATGCAACGCAATAAAAACAGTAAACTATGAACTAAATTTGGTTATTAGTAATTGGCTCAAAAAGTTAATAAATTGAAAGTAATTGATGAAAGGCTAAATGCTTATTAATAGAAAGTTTTGAAAATTACACATTATACTTATTCAAATTTTATTATTAGTAATATCGGAATGGATAAAATCAAGTCATTCAAATTCTTATCGTTACTTGACACGTCAAATTTCAGTCAACATGAAGAAATGGCTTATAAAATGACTTATTTTAATATTGTCAGCTAAATTGTTATTTTATTTTAGATGTGCAGGTAATATCGAAAGACTTTTCCACATTTGCTGGGGTACTATCAGGCATCGCTATATTGTCAGGGCTGATTTGTTTCGTGCTGCACTTATTCAATCAGAATCTTTACGGATCGGGACATCGCAGGCATCGTTTTGGAAATGCTAATCTAGCACCGCCAATTTTATTTTCTAGTGATCCAGGTTAGTCAATATTGAGTTTTTATTTTTATAAAAAGCTAAATGTCGCATTTTGATGTGATTGAGTGTTAAATGTGTGTTATGATTGCGTGAAAATTCAATAATATTTACGCATTTAATCGAACTACCAACTACCTATCATAATAATATGTCTGATAGGAGATATACAGAAAAATATGTAATATGAGAATATCTGTCGCCTAGTAGTTATTATTGGAGCTCAATTTATCATGCTTCCAAGTCCTTAAAGCATATAATATCATAATTTTGAATTATAACGTAACAAAACTAAGTAGTTTTCTCTCTTTCTATGCTTTTTTGACGTCTGGTAGATTTTTTAGATATTATTAATCATGATTATTTTTCTCATATCCTAGATCTTTTTGGGTACCTATGCTCGTTTTCCAAATACTTACATTTAATATTTTATAGGACATGTGACAATGTGCAATAATTATAAGCCTTGTACGATGTAGATTAGAACATCTCAGAATCCTGAGTAGAGTCAATATACTCTGGCAAATTTCAATTTTTTTATTAGTTGATCTACCTTGCCAGGCAAGTGGATAGAAGAGCATTTTTTTTCAGTCCAAAAACGTCCAGTTCTGGACACAAGCCTCTGATTTGTTTGAATTCATATCGTATGCTCTTGAAAAAGCAACTCATATGAATAAAGAATTTAATCTTTTATAGTGACATTTGTAATACATTTCGTCACGTATTGCGTTGAAGTTTCCGAGTCACCGGAAACACTTTTTACTTATATCATATACCTACCTTTCATATATTATGACGCTCATACTTCATAGGTTCCTATAAGCGAAGACAGATTAGACGGTGTTTCTGTTTACATCTTATAATTCGTATAGGCTAGGTAATATCGCAAAATTTCACAAAAGCTAGGTAGTACTTAAAATACGTAGGTAATATCATTTTAATATAGAAAAATGCGACAGACTTTACGTATTTAGGCGAAGCGATAGCGGTATAAAATTCTACCTCGTCAACTAACCTTCTAATTTGTGGAAAATTCTATGGCAAAAAAGATAAAATCCTGCCTGAGCTCATTCTTTTGGAAAAAATGCAATCGCGATGAGCTCAGTTAACGAGACAATGCATTTACATTATATTATTGATCATCAGCATGAAATTTATAATTAACATGGAATAATATTCGTATTCTCGTAATCATTTAAAATGCTTCATTTATTGATACCAGGGCAAATCGCACTTACAAAAACGAAATTTTCGGTTTCCATGTTTTGCGTCGAATATACCAACTTCTAATTTTTTATATAAATGTACAAATTTGTACATCTTCAAGTGTAGGTACAGCATAATATAAGAGTACTTTACAATAAAGGTGTTGCCAAATGCGCACTCTGAAGAAACCGTGAAAGTTTCAGAAAACGCAAGTTTTAATTCCTCAAACGAACATAAAGATGCGAACTCACCCACTGACGCATGAGAACTACCCCACCGTAGAGTTTATTAGTCAACATACCATAGTCAAACAGTCAAACCTATCGGATGCTAGAAGTAGTCGGTCTTCACAGCATCAGTTATAGGATTAAACGACCTGGAAGGGAAGACTGGCGGACGGCCAACAAAATAATTACAGCGGCGGCCATAAAGGAGGCGGTCCTATTATTCCACCCCTTTAAATCGCCTGGGGAGGACGGCTTCTCCTCTGCTATGCTACAAAACAAATTTGGAATTCTGCTACCATTCCTAATAAGACTCTCCAGAGCCAGTCTTGCGTACAACCATATACCACCAAGCTGGACAGCTACAAAGTTAATCTATATCCCTAGAGCGGGGCAAAAAGAACGCACACCCCAATCATTCAGACCAAACTTTAGAGAAGTGCTGGATGAGTGGACTAAATGAGAGGCGCTTAAGACGAATCCTCCTAGTACTCATCAATATGCCTATCAGACAGCAAAGTCCACAGAGCTGACTCTTAGCAACTTGGTAGGTAGCACAGACAGCTCTCTGGAACTTAAGAGCCTTGCACTCGCCGCGTTCCTGGACATAGAGGAAGCTTTTAATAATGCGATGCCAAACTCTCTCTATATGAGACATCAAAATCCAGAGACATCAAGACCATGCTGAACAGCAGAATGATAACGACCTCTCTGCAGGAGGAAACGGTCCGTTTTTTATCGAGGACGTAGTCGATGCGTTAGCTAACCGAATCAAGAGGCCCTTATGAATGGTCAGGGAGCATTGCTTCCCAGCACCCCTCTTCGTCTGTTCGTTAGTACGGTTTCTTTATTAATTTCAAAAAATAACAATGGTACAAAAGTTACAGAAACATAGGTTTAATCGAAGAAGAGAAAAAAAAATATGCGATCACCAATATCGCAGTTGTTGGAACCGTTTTATATGCCGATGTGATTCTGATGGCCAGCTGCTGGTTTAGTCTCTCCATCATATCCCTGCAGTGTTTGAACACTAGTGCCTTCATCCATATAGGCGCGCCATAGGTGAGGACTGACTGTGCCCTGCAGTAGAACCATTTCTGTCTTTGTTACGGCTATTCTTATGCCCAGTTCGTCCAGTTTCCTTATTACCCTGTTTACAGAATGTTGCGTGATTTCCTCCAATTTTGCACCGTTCTTTGCCTTTGTGACTACAGCTATGTCATCAGCGTATGCGATGATCTCCATGCACGTCTTTTTCAAGATTTAGTCTTAAGACGCTGTCATAGAAGACATTCCAGAGGGTCGGGCCAAGTACAGATCCTTGAGGTACCCCGCACGTCGGCGTCGTGCGGATTTTATTGATCTTCTCGGTTATTACGTGTCTGTCATTTAGATACGACTGTGCCATTCTATCAATGTAGGTAAGGGCTTATAGTAGTTTCCCTCATTGTTTTGACGACTTTAGGCCATGGCGCAGAGTTAAAAGCAGTACATCGAGTATTATCATAGCAGAAAACTCTCGGTTCTTTACCGCGATCTCTTTGATTTTTTCAACAATGACCCTTATATGGGTTGCCGCATCAATGGTGCATCGTTTAGGTAGGAGCCCATACTGGTTTTTATGTAATTTTTTTTTTCTTCTAGCTCAGATTCTAGTCTTCCCTTTATTACTGTCTCAAGTAGCTTTCCTGCAGCGTCGAGCAGGCACAGTGGTCGGAATGTTGTTGGTGCCGCAAGATCCTTTTTTGGTTTTGGTTTTAGTACTAGTCTTGCCATTTTCCATACCTCTGGAAAGATGCCTTTCCTGAGGCATGTGTTAATTATTTCCAGGAAGCTCTCTGTGTTGTTGAGGGCACATATCTGTATTACCTCTGCTGGGATGTTGACACGCTCTGAGCAGCTCATTCGCGTCAACTCGGGGGATCTCCTCCTCGTTAGTCTGGATTTCCTGCCACTCTACTATTTCACACTTGGGAAACAACAGTTCTACTTGTTCTGTTACTGTCTCTTCGCTAAGGTTCATGTGAGTTCTTATTTCGAATTTGTCTGTTACGATTCGGTATGCAAGTCCCCAGATGTCGTTATCCAGTTCATCGCATAACATTCTCCATTCTAGATCTTTCTGTTTCCTGATTGCATCGTTGAGTGCTTTTTTCAGTCTTTTGTATTCGTCCTGTGCCTCAAGTTTAGCCTGCTCCGTAGCCTGTCTTTTCCTGGTTCTCTGTGAGTTCCTTCTGGCTTGAATAGATTGTTTTCTTTTGTCTGCTATGTCGAGTGTCCACCAGTACACGGGTTTGTATTGGGGGCAGGAGTTACCTCTTTTTGGCAGCACTTTGTTGCAAAGTTGTGCTATGCATTTCATCATCTTCTTCGGTCCGTGTTCAACTTCCAGATCTATGTCCCTAAACATGTTGTTATACTTTCTCTTTTTAGGCTTTGGAGTCCACTGGTCGTTAGCTTTCAGCCACCCTTCCTCCTGTGCTCGTTTCCTGTCAGAGTTTTGTTTGTCTCTAGGTCGAAAAGTATAGTCCTGTGGTCGCTAAAGTTCTCATTGTCTACGTCAATTCTCCATTCTTGGAATTGGTTGCAGATGCTCTGTGTAGCAATGGTAATATCTATGAGCGATTCCCCGTTACAGTTTGAGAAGGTGGCTGTATCCCCGGTGTTTATTGCCACAAGGTTTCTTTCTGCCATTCAGTCTTCGAGACTGTTGCGTTTCGCGTTTGTAGTTGCTGCGCCGAAGATTAGCGCCTTGGTGTTTAAATTCCTCCTATTATACATTCCTTTTTAGTATCTTCAATATGTCTTCCGAGGTCTTCCAAGAGTTGCTAGTTGCTCAAAGGTGTCTATGTCTGGGTTTGGGGAAAAATAGCAAGAGATGATTAGGGGGTTGTCCAGTTCGATGCTAACGAAGCCCTTCTTACTTGTATGGTTGACATTGGTCAGTGGTGTTTGTATCGCTATAAAGCTGTCGCCATTCTTATCACAGAGGTAGTTTTCCATTCTTCTACAGTTTGTGTTAGCCGATCGTGGGCTGCTCCGCATCTGTTCATATTTAATTGCAGGAACTTTAGTACCCCTGTCTTGGTAGTTTTCTTAGTAGCCATTGAGGCATGCCGACCTTCTATTTACGGAGAGAGCCCTGCGGAATGCTTTGCAGTTTCCTGACCCTGCCTTATGTCCTTCTAGGTCACACAATGGATATTTACCTTCTTTTTGGTATGTTTTTGCCTTGGGCCGGAGCAATCCCTTGCGAGGTGTCCGTAATCCTAGCATTGGTTGCACCTTACCAAATGTAGTCTTTTCTCCAGTCTACACCTAACTATCCCTCTCCGTATGTTTTTCTGTATTAGGCGGTCCGCTCTTTCCTTTGTCAACATTATGATAATGGCTTGAGTATTCCCTGAATTTGTTCTGAATTTTCCTAGGCTGTATTCCTTTTCCACCATCTTTCCCAGCACGTCTTCAACGGCCGTCATCACCTCCTCTGTGGTTGTAGGTATGTCTACCCCTCCTTCTTTCGGGTTGGACTACCTACTAGAAGAAGTCCGCTCTTTCCGATGTTTGTTTCTTGGTTCCGAACCCCTAATTTTCTGTTCCAGTTTCTTTATAGCTTCCGCGTTTTTTTTTTCGTCGTTATTATCAGCTTTCCCTGCTTTGTTTGCCTTTTCGAATTTATTCTTTGGCTCTCCTCTGAGTTTCTTACATTCTGTTTAACATCTTCCAAGATTTGTCTGTAGTCTCTATCCTTTTGGTCTACTATCGGTGCATATGTTACATATGTCAGTTTTTCTCTTGGCTTTGTCTCTTTTATGCAGCATTGTGTGGCATTAGTGTCTGCTCCTTGAAAAACCATTTCCACCATTTTCCGAAATTTGTCTTGGCTTATGCATTTGAAGTGATGTAGGGTGACCCACTCCTCTTGCCTGGTTTCTTCGTGGAGCCTTTCCAGCGATTCCCATAGTCCAAAGTCGTCTTGCCGTATTTTCACTATTTCCTCTTGTGGGTTCCGAGATTCCTCTTATCCTCGTCGTCTGTTCTAGCATGCCGAAGTCCTCAAAATGTCCAGGATCTCCGGGTATCTTTTTTGTAGAGGGCCTGTATGCTTTCCTCCATGTTTTGGTCTGATGGCTCTACCAACACTACCTCAACTGTATTTGTTTTTGTTTGTATCGGCTTTCCAACCTTGAACTCTGTTTTTTTAAAAACCTCTTTTGCCCACTTGAGATTCTCCAGGGTTCTGTATTTTTCGTATGTTTGTGTTCCGCTAAGTATATATACCGTCTGCTCGGCTGAGTCTTCAAAGATTTTTGTTTGCGTTCCCATGTCCTGGGTAGCCCTTTTTGTACTTGTTTGGGTATTTCCTTCTGCCTCCGGTTTTTCCTGGCTGTGCGTGCGGTGTGTGTGCCCGCAGTAGTTGTCTTTCCAGTTTCTCAGTTGAGCAGATGTGGCAGACATCTCCTGCTGTTTTGGGTCCTCCCCTTGGACTTGTTTGGACCTCTGCTTCAAAGGTCATTGTCTCGGTCTGCTCATACCAATGTTTCTCTAACCATTGTGTCATTTGACGCCCATTAAGCGTTTTAATTTGTTTTCTGAGTTTTTAGGCGATATCCTTAACCGTTCTTTTGGTGTTTTGCTCTAGGCTTTAATCTAGTTCTGCGCTTAGCTTTATGATCATCTCTATTGTTTCTTTGTGTACATAGTATTCTAGACTTTCTTTTTTCTTATATATTACCCTGTTCACATCTGGGGTGGGTGTGTCCTGAGTATCTGGGCTTTTCCTTTTTATACCTTCAGAGCTGCTGAGGGAAGTGCTTCTTTGTGATCTTTGAAATAATTACTTAAACTTCAATTCGATTTTGTTTTTTGCTTCAGTATGCTCCTTTCTCGTCTCCACTGAGCTTTGTTTCGTGCTATCCCAAGTAAGGTCTATGGTGGTAATTGACGCTCTTCGTTCGTTGTTTGTGTTACCCATAGGCTTATCAGCGGATCCAGTAATTGACTCCTGTGCCTCGACCTGGTTCCCTGCCGGTTGCGCTGTACAGTAGTCGGCTAACGGTCGGTCCTGGCGTGCACAGCCACCAGATGTTCTGACCGGTACTGGGGTATCCCCCTGCACCGTAAACTCATTTTCTGTATTCTTGCTTGTCATCATTATTTTTGGTTTTCCTGGGAAATTTGGGGAAGAAAAAGGTATATGCCCCTAGCCGTCGTTACCTAATAGCGTCGGGGGAAGGGTGTGGCGTGGAGGGTAAGGATTTGGGGTTGGTGGTGTATGGAATGGGATCACCCTGGGTGTATGGTGAGAGCCCAGCTAGGGTACCTCGGCTAGCCACGCCCGTGTCCGCAGTGCGACCTCCCTGAGGTTGAGCTGAAACCAGATTACTGAGCTGTCCTTAGCAACGACTGGCCGATGCAAATAAACGATCAGTCGCTGGGCCCTTCCACCAACGGCCAGGGACTTTATTCTCGAAGCAGGGGAGCACCAACCTCATGAGAACGAAGCTTCTGTCTTCGTCGTCCGTATTCAAATTTCCATAACACTGACAAAGACAGAGCAATCGTTCTCATGGAAACGCTGTTCCTCAGTTTCGAGAATAAAGTCCCAGGTCTCAAAGTTCCTTGGAGGGGAGGGGGAAACGGTCCACTCCGCCTCTGTGGTCACTCTTGGTAATGTGATAGAACTATGGAGGGTCGAGGTTCAAGTATATGCGGACGATCCAGTAATAATAGCGAAGAGTAGCTCCGAGGCGAAGGTCGCAACTGCACTCCAAGAAGAAGAGAGAAAAAATGACGAACAATCCTCACAAAATGACCATAGGACCCTTCATCAGGAAAAGAAAACTCAATAATCTAGTACCCCTGAGTAATCGGGAAGAAATGTGCCATTTTCAAGTGAAGCATAAAGTATCTGTGGGTCGTCCTGGACAAGACTTTAAACTAGAACGCTTATTTGAAAATAGTGAACCAAAACGCAGAACTAGCCCTTTGGAACTGCGCAGGATTTGTGGAAATACCTGGGGCACAAATCCAAAGCAAATCCACTGGATTTACACCATGGTCATCAGACCAATGATAACCTACGGATCTGTAGTATGGTAAATCAGAAAAGGGTTCAAGCCATACTTCCTGGACTATAGAGAATGGCTTGCCTGACTATTAACTGGAGCCCTTCCTACCACGCCCACGGTAGCCATGGAAGTCCTCATAAATCTAACTCCCCTTCGCAGAGTTAAGAGGGAGGCAATGAGGGCAACCTATATCGGCTATATTATGCTTCAAAGAGCAGTTTGGAGGGCGGAAGCGCAATGCAACACACGGTGCTTGTGGACGAAATAAATCTGAGACGACACCCTAAGCATGCCTTCCGACATAATGCCAAAGAAAACCAACTTTGGTTCGCTTTTCAAAATAATGATTCCCGACAGAGAGCTATGGGCCGGCGACAGGATCGAGCTACACGATCGAGGCACTCTTCTGCTTATACCCAAATGGCTCGAAAACCAACCATGGAGTCCGAGTAAGGGTATATGGTGAGACACCAAGACTGGAAATTTTGACCAGCCTTGGTAAAAAACGCATCCTTATTCACAGTATCGCATGCTCTGGATTCAGAAATTTTAGAGAATTGAGAGAGCGATCAACTGATTAGTCCAAATAACGTCGACCGCGTAAATGACTGGCTAGAGCATGTTGGGTCTACATATCGGTGGGCCAATTCCTAAACAATGACCACTATGACATTAACTTCACGATGGTTACTACCTAAAAAAACAAGTACATGTTTACCATTAGTCCATACAAATATCATGAGCATGTTCCCTGACGTAGTGCCAAGTGCACTCCCTTGGTAAGACACGTACTTAACGGTACTCACTGTAACTTCTTATATTTGTGGCAGAATAAGCACAGGCCATTCATTATTCGAGAAACTATTTACCACCAAATTAATCGCGTATTTGCAGGATACCCGATGGCATAGTTTTTATTAATGTTGCCGGCTTTCGTAGATAGGTACCTACTCATAAGTATTTAGTAATAAGATAGGCCGCTATCATGCAATCAATAGGCTAGCTACTTCCTCTTCCATATCCCCTCTACTCTTTTGCAGGCTCGCTACCCCTCCCAATATTGGAGCGTACCGGTGCCACGTCGCAAGCTTCGACGCGTCACACCGGAAGTTCGACAACGCGTCGCGCCAGCAGCATCGCTACGTTGCACCGTTGCGGCGGAGGCGTGTCGACCGTGCCGCAGTCCCGAACAGGTGCGGCTCGAGCTGCCGCCATCTTGCTCTTGTCGTATTGCGACTACGTCGCTAGTGGTGGTTCTGACGAATCCGAACTCGGTACTGACATGACTGGTCATTGGGATGGTGCTGCGCTATCAACATGGATTTGGAGGACTCTTTTTCCATCATTATACTTTATAGTCAATCAAATTTGATATCATGCTAATGTCGGATCCACACCAAACGTACTTTTGGCAAACAAGACATGAACTCCTTTTGCAAACAGAACAAGTCCGTTGTTACTAGAGACGCCCTCCGTTCGCGTTTCCGGATACAGTTAGTAAAAATCTCGGAGGTTATCCCTGTCGGGTCGTTCGGTTCCAAACATTTTTAAATAACAGAAGCTTCCTGAGGTTGACCGAACCCACTCAGCACTCCATGGTATCAAGGCTTGAACACCACAACGGTCAGCTTTATTTTCCATCTTATTCAACTTTCACACACGGTATCTCTAAATCTCATCTCAATCAGCAGTTTTATTGATGATGCTGCCATCATCATATAAAATTCACTAATTATAATATCACACCTCATATTCCTAATGAGCCAAATCGAACAATCGATGGCAGATGAAGCTTCATACCAAGTGCCGAAAAATTGTAAACTGGGAGTAACTCTTCATGGCAAAATATCATCTGCTGAAGATGTCTCCCAATCTTTCTTTAAATGGCAGTCCCCCTATGGCTCCTCTTTCACTATTTATCATTTGCCACACTCTTTTACTCTGTTACTGATCAAGAAATATCGAAAATTACGGAGAAATCTTGCCTCCACTGTATACAATTTTTGAATGTGAAACACAATCCAACTGGAACTGAGCTGTCCCTTTGTTTTGTATTTTATTTTCTAGAAAGCATGTTTGATTTTAGTTAACGTTTCCGTTCGAAAGGACTATTTGTGTTTTGCTTACCGGTGTGCCTTTGGGGTGGATACCCTTTAAAAACTGATGCATATTTTCAGTTTATTGTCAATTCAGGAAGATGTTTTCTGATCTTCTGGGAGGTCTGTAGTTAACCTTTGAGTGTTTTACTTTGGGAACACAATAATTATCAAAAGTAAATTCATGTTTAGACTAAAAGAACACGATGAAGCTGTTAATCACTTCGTTCAATCATTGGCACTTACACAAAATCACTTCAGTCAGAAAATATATTCCTAAAACCGATGGATAGTAGATATACACTTGAAAATATCGCTAGCTACTACTAATATCAATCAAATTTATTATTCCAAATGCAATAATAATAATTGCTTCCTCCATCATCCACGTTAGATGATGAGCATATGTCAATGTCGGGTTACAAATGCTCTGTTTGTTCGGTGTTGTGCTAAAGTCTAATGTAGTTACACAAATACACACCAATTTAGAGGTCCAAAACCAACACACACCTATCTATTTTTAAGGAGCAAGATGGCTGCGGTCTAGTTTCATTTCGGAGTAAACAGTTCTTTTTTTAATTAGTTCAGCGAAAAATACACAGATTACACACGTCTTGCATGTTCATCTTTTTTCTTCCGCATCCGAAACAGTTGTTATGCAAAAATCAAGTTTAATATTAAGTATACCTACAGTTTAGTTTTTGGCAAGGGAATTTTTAATTTTTGCTACTGCTGCAAAGGTTCCTGGTTGCGCTGATTTTCAAGATTGCAATGTTGGACAGCAATTTTTTGATAATTTGAAATTCGTTTTTCTGGAATAAAACCATTTTGTACTTGAGAAAATATCAGCTTTACACAGAACAACTATTGTTATTTAATCCTTTATTAAGTAAAAGATTATCCACAACATTACAAGTTGAAAAAAAACTACTTTACATAACTTGTACGATACGAAGAATTGCTTTTAGAAAATATATTAAACTTGGTTGAGGTAGGTAGGTATACACATAAAATTCACTTCTTCCTTTATTTGTAAATATGGCACCCTTTTCGCCTGGTGTATTGTAGATAGGAAATCAAGCAATATAGCATGTAAGTATGTAGTTCGAAGGCCTAGTAGCTAGTAGTTATAGATGTAGATAGTACTTCTCTCTAAAAACTTCAGTATAAAAACTCTCCTCATGGAATCAAAGGAATATTCACATTCAACAAGGAATATTCACATTCAACAAGAGATTTCTATTTACTCAAAATTTGAAAGCTAGCTCACTCACAAAGCTTATATTTTAATATTAATGAGCACTCATGAACTATCTATCTTATGATATTCTAACTTGAATTTCTTGTAAGGTTCGAGACGACCAAGCATAGCGTCTATCCATAGCGCCAGCTCGTTGCGTAGCTACAGCGCCAGGCGCTACGAAAGAGAGAGGGAACAAAAAGAAGAGAGAGAAATGCAAAGACGAATTTCGAAAATAAACTCAGCGTCTGTTGGTCGACTGCCACCGACGCCTAGTCCGCATTCGACCGATGATTTGTTACCTACTTTAGAAGAGGATAAACAACAGGTAAAATAGGATAAAGATCCTTTGTCTCAACTTATTATGGTCCATTTTTAAAAGATGCAGCTAAACCTAATGTACTACTTACCTCACTTACGGCCATTTGCACCGCTATAACTTAAGGGGTATTTAATCCAAGTGGAGCTTTGAATGTGACTCTCGTAGAAACAAAAGTCACATTCAAAAGCTCAACTTAAATTAAATATCCCTTAATATCCCTTAAGTGATAGCGTTGCAAATGGCCGTTAATATATTATTATTATGTACAGGGTGGCCCAAATTCGAGCCTCATCATTGGGATCTCGGTAACCGTAACAGATACGGGGTCGGTTAAATTATGGCAAAGTTGCGCAATTTTATGACCAATAGAGTGCTGTTTTGAAACTAGAAAGATTCCGAATACTTCCGGAGAAATTCGGAAAAATCCGAAATTTTGTAAAATCGTTTTTATTTTTACTGGGCTTATTTGAAGAGCAATTTTAAAATAAATGTCACTTTTTCCCCTTTAGAAGATGGTGCTACTAAATTTAAAATTCGACGTTTCGTCTCCAGGCTGCCATCCTCAACTTCCTTTTTATAAATACGGACCTGGATTTTTTATTTGCAATTTTGTCATCTTTGGGCATCCTAAAACTGATACTGTTTATAATTTTTCAATAAAACAGTAAAAAAAGCAGGTCCGTATTTAAAAAAAATAAATTGATGATGATTCCAGAGGAACGAAACGTTGGATTTTAAATTTAATACCGCTATCTGGTAGAGAAGAAAAAGTGACAACAGGAATGTAAAATTAGTTTTTCACAATCTTTTCAAATAAAATCAGGAAAAATGGAAACTATTCGAAAAAAACAAGAATTTCTCGTTTTTCTTGATTTCTTTCCTGATTCCATTTAAAAAGATTTCGAAAAACTAATTTCACGTTCCCATTGTCACTTTTTCTTCTGTACAAGATGGCGGTATTAAATTTGAAATCCAACGTTTCGTTCCTCTGGAATCATCATCAATTTTTTTTTTTAAATACGGACCTGCTTCTTTTACCGTGTTATTGAAAAATTATAAAGAGTATCAGTTTAAGGATGCTCAAAGATGACAAAATCGCAAATAAAAAATCTAGGTCCGTATTTAAAAAACGTAAGTTGAGGATGGCCGTCTGAAGACGAAACGTCGAATTTAAAATTTAGTAGCACCATCTTCTAGAGGGGAAAAAGTGACAATGATGAAGTGAAATTTATTTTGAAATTGCTTTTCAAATAAGCCCGGGAAATAATAAAAACGATTTTACAAAATTTCGGTTTTTTCCGAATATCTCCGGAAGTATTCGGAATCTTTCTAGTTTCAAAACGGCATTCTATTGGTCATAAAATTGCGCAACTTTGCCATCATTTAACCGACCCCGTATCTCTTACGGTTACCGAGATCCCAATGATGAGGCTCGAATTTGGGCCACCCTGTATTACTTACTATAGCCCGGGAGGTAGCGACATAATAAGGGCTTGATACATTTGATAGCCCTTCTCCAATAGACTTCCACCATTTAAATGAAATAAATATCAGTAATCGATGGCATGTTACGTGCAATCCAAAACTTGACAGATGTAAGAAAAAAAAACTATTCATAAATTCCAACATAAGTTATACAGAGAGGACCAGGATACTAGACACATAGGCTTCAATGGGACCAGTTGACTGATACCCATTTCACTGCAGGATCGTCTCGGGTACTCTGGTCTCGGTGGATCATTGATCGTCCCTGCATGTTATCAAAATTCGTGCATCTTCGGCCAAATTATTCGGAATTCCCCCATATTACTTTGCATCTTTTAGAAATGTATAAATTTTTTATGTAGCTATAAATAAATTTTCAAAAGTTGTACTTATATTTGTTTGGAGATCCACACGACACACAATTTTTTTTTCTTTTTTACAGATCGAAGTAACTTCGATGGGTGGTTTTACCAATACTTCCTATGCTTTATAAGGTTTATTAATTTGTTGTTTGTTTTCAAGTTTTCTTCTCTTGCTTCCTGCTAGTGTTTCAAGCTGTTACATCGCTAACAAACTTAATTGAATTCCAGCAACTCTGTTTTCCGTATACAAACTCATACAAAAGTAATTGCTTCTATTGCATCAGCTAACATTATAACACACACTTTCAAAGTACAATGAAACTAATTTAGCTTTTACTGAATAAGTATAGTTGAATGAAACAAAAATAATTCAGATTTTTTGTAGAAATGTCTATTGAGGGACTTCATTTTGATAATAAAAATCTGAGTTTTTTCTTGCGTGAAAGTAATAAAACCACTATCAACCTCAGCGAGATAGACAAATGCACAACTATTGAAAAAAAAAAAACAGCTCATCTTTAAAATTATGTTTGTCAATCCCGCAAAAACAAACAAGCACCTTCAAGCACTGCGAGTTAGTGTTTTTGATCTAGCTTTGAAAAACATTCATTTTCAAATCAAATAATTTCACTTTATTTTCTAGATAATTCCTCCCTTAGCAACTAAAGAAGATTCTACAACTAGTTTTCAAGAAGAAAATTTACCTTCAACTTCCAAACAGTATCCATAGTGGCGTATACTTCCCCATGTTGTTTTTGGTGTAAAAAAGATCTAACTACTAACAATACAAATACCAAAATGTTCCTTCAAAATGACCATCATAGGAAATATTGAATGCTTCAAGTATTGGTTCTTTTGTACGCCAAATATGTTGATGTTATCTAATCAGATGAGAAAAGACTTTTAATAAAAGAAAACCTAGATTTTAGTGATTTTTTTATACGCATATTGTAATATGTTTGCCTAAGACATGCCTAAAAGTGTTGTGTTTAGAGATTTATTGCAAAATGGTTCTTTTCTTTTAAAGATACCTAATTCAAACAAATTTAAACTTATCTCAGCTTTTAAATAATGTACCTACTAATATCAATGCAACGAAAACATTAGACCAGGCAAATTTAAAAAAAAAATTACGATGAGTGTGAAGTTTTTGTTTGTTTATTTGACGTTTATTTTTTTGTTGAAAACGATAGCGCACCGATCATAGAATAGAAATCTAAAAATCCCAAAAAAAAGAGCAGAGATTCGACCGAGCTCTTTTTTAAACCGCACGTGCGAAGACTGAAATTTTCTTGGAAATTTTTCATTTTTCCGTGATTATTCCACTCATGTGTTAGAAATCCCATAAGATAAGTGACGATTTTTAGAATTACAGCGAAAATTCCCATTTCCGTTTGTTTAACTAGAGAGAATTACAGCGATAATTCTCCCATATTATTGTATACATGGTTGTCATGCTAATTTTTGATACAAACAAACGGTTCCTGATAGCAACCATTTATTTGTATTGATTGTTAAGATGTTCAAATCGTTTAAGGTTTAGAGTCAACCCCCATTTTCTGAACCTTGTGTTCAAAAATTCCAAAAAAAATATATGTTTTATGGTTATTGATATACTTTAATCCATAATTTTTTTTAAGCAAATTTGACTCGCCATTTTTGAGTTATATCGCAAAAACTGAAAAAAAAGTGGTTTTTTACCATTTATTTCAAAACGAAGAGATGAAGTTTCCCGTTATTTTTATTACGAACTACTATTGCAATTCTACGCGACATATATTTTTTCCAATTTTTTGAACTTGTAGTTTTCTCGCTATTGCAAGAATAGTTGGAAATACGCCTGTAGCTACACTGTTTAAAAATTAATCCGACGGATGAACGTTCAAAAATATTTGTGTTGGTCCAAACTGCAACCCTGTTTATGTAAAACAGAATAATACTTCGAATTTCCGCAGAAAAAAGAAAAAACTTTCCATCACACAATTTAACCAAATGCAGATTTCTATTTTTTTTGACTATCAAGTTAGGGCACACTATAGGGGCGACAGTACTGACATCTCGCGTTGCTGCAATAAACAATGGGCCTGACTTTAAACCTTAATACATATTTATTTCCATATTTTTTGCATTCTCATAGGTGAAATAATCCTCTAAATACCACTTGAGTTTTAAAATTGACCAGATAATTTTTCACTCATGCGTGTTTTCTCTGCAAATTTCACTCGTCCTACGGACTCGTGAAATTATAGAAAACACGCAATCGTGAAAAATTATCGGAAATTTTGAAGCTCTCGTGGTATTATCCCCGAAAATACTAATCAATTTTGCGTAAGTGTTATCCCATAATGTTAAATTAATAAATACTATAGAGAAAATGGGTAAGAAAATATAATTTGAACATCAAATTATACCTTTTGTCATATAGGTTAGGAAAAATTTAAGCCTATTTTAAGCCCCGTGGGGGCAAAATCGGGGGGGTCGGATGAGCCCACTTTTGACATTAATGTAAATTGTAAATAGCAATGAGGAAATTACATCAAAGAATAATAAATCAGAATATAAATTGAATAAGCAATATAAATATGACGATAATGCATTAGGCCCGTTTCAGGAAGTAGTTCAGGGTCCCCAGGGAAACAATATAGGGCATCTACATCCAATGGTTCTTGCTAAGATAATATATGATTTGAAATTAGAAAATGTAAACAGACCAATGAAAAAAGGAAAGAATAAAGTTATTATAGAATTTAAAACACCAAGAGCAGCAAACATCTTACAACAGTTAATAGATAGAACAGTTAATAGATAGAGAATATACTATGTACATTCCTGAATACCTGGTCGCCTGTAAAGGAATAGTGAGAGGAATATGTGAAGAACTGGAACCAGAAGAAATTATTAAAAATTTTATTGTCCAAAAAGTATTAAACATAAAGAGATAACGTAGAATAACAAATGAACGAGGAGAAATTGGATATATAGAGACGGAAAAGTATCTATTCACATTAAAAAAAAAAATTTCACCCAGATCCGTGAGCATTTATCGACTAGGCGTACCAGTAGATAAAACTACATTATGCCAGTAACGTAATGCTATAATTGCTTACTGTATGGTCACACTAAGAAGTATTGTCGTCGCGAAGACTCATCCCGGAAACCATCAGGGGATGACGATATCAGGAAGGGATTAATAGCACAGATTAAAAATATGTCATTCATAGATTTGAACTTAACAAATAACTACATAAAAGATTTAGATATCCATTGGGGAAGTCCAATGGAGGAGGATGAATGGTGAAAACCAGAAAACACAAGAAATCGAAAACCTCATGATTCATGAATAACACATCAGTATAGAGTACCTAATGAAAATTCTACAATGGAATATAAAATCAATCAATTCAAACATAGACAACTTGAAAATTTTAATACAAGAACAAAAAGCTGAAATTATAACATTGAATGAAACATGGCTGAAAAAAGATCACAATTTAAGGATTGGACAATACAAAAGACAAGATAGACAAAGATGGTGAGGGAGGTATTGCATGTTTGATAAAGGATCCCATAGAGTATAAGGAGTATGATCTGTCAAATTATGATTTTCCAGGAAACCTTCATGAAGCTGGATCTTTATCAGGGATCTTATTAAAAATATACCTGAACCAAAATTAATACTAGGAGATTTCAACGGCCAACACCCGCTATGGGGAAGTTCAGTGCCAAACTATAATGGAAACGTCATAAATAATATTCTAAATGAAACTTCTCTAGTGTTACTAAATGATGGACTAGACTGACAATACCAGGCGAAAACAAATAAGCTCCAGATATTTCTCAGGTATCCAGTTCTATGGCCACAGTAATGGAATGGAAAATTTTAGAAGACTGTGAAAACAGTGACCATTATCCAATAATAATTTCCTTGAGACACACCGAGAATGATTGAGTCAATAGAAAGTATCAAACCTAGAAGAAATACCAAAAAAGCAAATTGGGAAAGACATGACGAAGTGGTCTACATTTCTGGGAAACAATCCACAATCATAGTCTGATCTGAAAAAAGATATACTAGAAGTTGCTGGAAAAACAATACCGGGGAAAAAAGCTGAACAAAGAAAGCATAAAAATCCGGTCCCACGGTGGGATGGAGAATGTCAGCAGTCTTTAAATAAAAGGAAAACTGCAATATAAACTCAAAAATGAATATTCAATGGAAAATTTCAGTCAAGTAAAGAGGGTCAGTGGTCAGACAAGTAGGAAATTCAAAGAAAAAAAAGAACAGTTTCAAAGAGTATTGTGGAAATATAAATAGAAGTAGGTACCTACAACATTAAAGAATATTTGGACAACAATAAGAATATTCTCAAAAGGAAAAATTAAATTAAGAAATAAAGCTCCAGAGCGGAAAATAGCAATAGAGATAATTAAAAACCTGAATCAGGTGAACCCAGATTTCACAATGGACAGAAGACATGAAAATTTCCAATTGGAAGAGGAAGAAGAAATAACTCTGGCTGAACTGGAAAATGTTTTGCAAGGAAAAAAAGATTCGGCCCTTGGACTGGACAACATAACATACTCCATGATCAAATATCTACCAACTTTAGGAAAGCAATATATACATATCTACTTAGAATATTCAATAATATCCTCAAAGAGAAGAAGATACCAATGCAATGGAAGAAAATATACATTTTCACATTGTTAAAGGACATCAAAGACAGTGCAGATGCAAAAAACTTTAAGCCCTTAGCATTAACCTCCTGCCCTGGGAAAATACTTGAAACAATTATTAAAAACAGATTAGAATGGAAATTGGAGAATAAAAAGGAATTGCCGGAATTACAAGTTGGTTTCAGCAAAGGCAAGAGATGTCTAGAATGTTTATCATAAGGTACCTAACAGTAAAAATTCAAAAATACAAATGATACACTTGTGGTTTTTCTGTGTATAACAGCTGCTTATGATCAAGTAAACATTAATTATACAATGCTTTGAAAGAACTAGATACATGCATGGAGGTAAACAATTTCATATATACAATTTTTGCAATAATAGAGAAGCATACATAAATGATAATAATGGGGAAATGGCAGGGCCACATATGTTATCGACTGGGCTGACCTAGGGTTCACTTCTGAGCACTATTCTTTTTAATATTTACACAAAAAAGGTACATGAACCAAGGAAAGGGAACATAACAATTTTGCAATACGCAGATCACTTTACAGTTTACAATACTAGCCAAGGGTCAGGATATTGAAATTGTAATACAAGATATATCAATGAATCATTATCTAATAATACCTATATCAGAATTGTTCGGTGGACTAAATTTTAAAATCAGCAGCCATGAGAATGAGTCCTAGGAAAAAGAATTTACCAGACATGAGTGCGAAGTACAATGAGGAAGAAATTCCCTGGGTTAGTGAATATCTAGTTGTAATTGTAACAGACACTTTAAATTGGACCAAGCAGACAGATAAAATGAAAACCAACGACACCAAGGGAATAAACGTGATAAAAAGTCTCACTAGAGTATGGTGGGGAGGTGATCCTACCACTCTTTTACAAATATATAAAATCATAAGATCTCATTAGGATTATGGATGCCAATTCATCAATACCAAAATAAATAAAAATAAAGAAAAACTAGACACAACCCAATATGCAGCTTTGAGGACAATTCTGAGTTGTATGAAATAAACACCAACAAATTTATTACTAACAGAAGCAAGTGAGCAATCCCTCGAGGTAAGAAGAAAATGGCTAACCCAAAAATTATTATTGAAAAACATGAAAATTAGGAACAACCCTATTATATTGGTAATTAAGGAGTTTAGGGTGCTGGATAGAAATGGAGGTTATTTTGCTAACAGGGAAGTCACATACGTGGTACAGGAATATGGGGAACTGGAAGAGAAAATAAAAAAATATGAAACACACCCCAGGATTGAATTTGAATATAAAATACCAAATAGGGAAAACACCAACCTGTAGAACGGACATCAACAAACAGGATATTAAAGGAAAATTTGCGGAAATAATAGATGAGAAGTTTTACACAGATGCAAGTGTGGAAAAAAGCACAAATGTAGCAGGGTTTGGTATTTACTGCTCACAGACAGATTACACTTTCTAGTCAAGACCACCCAATTTTACTCAGATCTGCACAGCGGATGCAGTAGTGTAGCAATACACAAAGCTGTGGCTGTGTATTTGGAAGAAAACATAAAAAGGATCTTAATTTTGACAGACTCGCAAAGCGTGGTGAAAGCATTGGATTGTACAAATTCTAAAAATCTAGATCACATAATAGCAATGACTAAACAGCAAATAATGGAAGCAAATTAAAATGGGTTTGACATAAAAATACTCTGGATCTCAGGACTCAGGACACTCAAACATCAGAGGCAACACGATAACAGACCAATTGGCTTATGTAGGTAGAAAGATTAGCGTCCCATATCCAATACAATTGGATGTAAAAG